TACAAGGTTTAGCCTTTCACAGTGGAACTGGAATCCAATTTTATTTCTCTGCTTTGAAAGTCTGCATTCCAGGGGAAAGGAGAGAACAAAGTAAGCTCAGTCAAAATGAAGGTGAAGTAAAAATTGTGGGAAAGGAGAGATGTGGGAAAATAATGGGACTTACTGAAATCAGTGCCCATGCCTGAGAACTGCAACACACTTCTGGTCATCGAGTTGACAAGAATCTCATCACACCCAGGTGCCAAAGGATAAGCTTAATGCAGACAGACTCAGATCACAGGCTTGCACTGGAGAAGCAGGCACCGAGTTAAACTGTATGTCACAGCAAACTGGTAACAGAGCCCAGTTTCTAGTTTTCAAAACCCAAACCTTAACCATCATACCACATTGCTTATTATAACTAGCAAAAAGAGAGTAAACCAGAAAGAAAAGCCTTGTGAGGAGCAGCAAAAGCTTCCAAGAAGCCTCTCTGGCTGTGTGTTGTACACTGACTGGATAACATTATTGCTTTATGTGGAATCCACCAACAGCTCTCCTCTCTGGAGGAGCTCTCCTGGCTGGTACTGGTTTCTCTCTCATCAAACCTGGCCGCAGATGCTGGCCTCTGGACTGATTTTGGCTCTTTCAGTATGTCCCAGTGAATTCCACGGTCCAGCAGAACCTGGCATGGCCATAACTATGAAAAGCAGCTCACTGCAAAGACTGACCCTCAACTGGAGATATTCTCCAGCTGCATCCAGAGACTGACATCTAAGCTGAAGAACATTTCTCTGGAAAAAGCTTCACTGTTAACTTTAGTCAAGAGATTTAGTTTCACCGCTTCTGCTTCTGAATCCAAAAGAGGGGTAAGCAGGATTTTTTCCCTTCCATTTGTAAGTGCCCTTTCATGTCATTTCATCACTTTTGTTTCCTATCATCTCTTCAGTTTTCATCAATCACCTTAAAGACATCCGACATAGCATTTTGTTCATGGTCTACTGAACCAACATTTACACTTTTAGTCACTATTAAAGTCAGAAACCTGTTAGAAAACATCAGTGAGAACCAAGGTAAAGTCTGGAGTTAAAACCATGCAGCTGAACAGGAAATTGTGCAGGGTATTTCCATCTCCAGCTTACCCTCGGGGCTGTGTTTTGGAAGGTTGCCCACTGGCACTTCTCAGTTACTACTAAGCTGTTTGGGGATTTGTCTCAAGTGTAACTGAATGGGTCAGTTCTTCCTGCAGAGCTGTTAGACAAACCAGCAGGCAGCAACTCATCTAAGCCTCCAGTACATCTTTATACCTGAAAGAAGAGTTATGTCATGGTATTCACAGAATCATTTCAGTTGGAAAAGACCTTTAAGATCATCAAGTCCAACTGTAATCTAACACTGCTAAGTCCACCTATAAACCATGCCTCTATGTGCCATCTCAGTGTACTCTGAATAGGGAAGCAGGGTAGGAACAAAACAGTCTCCAAAATCATTGAGGAATAGTCTCTTCATTATCGAGAGCTCTTGAAATTGGCCACCTTAGGGACAGCAGGTTGTTACTGGAAAGAAGCTAAGAGATGAGGTAAGGAAACTGCATCTTCTTACAAAAACATGTCAAGCTGAACACCAATAGTTCTGAAGCTGGAGCTTCATCTATAGGACTAAGAGCAGCAAAAAAGAGCTTTCAGTTTTCATCTTTAAGTGTACCTCAGCCCTCCCTTGCAGGGTGAAATTCAGCTCCTCACACACTCCAAATTCTGGCAGCTCCACAAAGACTCCAGGAGACTCAAGGGAAGGCAAGCAGCAGGGAAACATGCAGAAGTTCACCAGTTTGTCAAAGGATCCCAAATTAGCAACTGAGCAGCAAAAATTGCTGCTGATCTATGTATGTACAGGTCTGCCACGAAAGGACTGGACTGCTAACACTCGAAAACATTTAAGTTCAATAAACACAAAACAATTGCCTCAAAAATGTGAAAGCAAGGAAAATATACAGAATACAATAGAAGTTCTGTAGCATTTATCACAGATTCAACATCACTGATGTGGTAAGGGATTATTTTTTAATGTATATAACACACGGGGTGGGGGGTGTGCATGTGTTTTGTACACAAAATGCAACTGCTGACTGCTTCAGTATGCCAGTAAGATTTCTGGAGGCTGCAGAATGCAACAGAAGTATGGCCAACAGAGATTCTCCCTGTGATGATGTACTGATTTGTCAAGGGAAGTCAAACTGTGGGCATCTTAAGGCTACCTACATCGAAAATCAGGTCAATTTGTGAATCGCTAATCTCTGGGGACCGAAGAATCCTGAAGTTACTGTTTACACATCCCCCTGTCCCCAGGACTAACTCAGAGTTTAAGTGTTGAACTCACCTGAGGAAACAGTAAACCTTTCCGTTTTCTCTCCTTGCCCTCAAGTTATACAAAACCCCACTGTGAAGCTGAAGAACTTTGGCACTTGTGGACTTCCCAAGCATTTCTAAGAAACTTCCACTGAAGAGCCTATTTTGCTTTCTAGGCAAGATCAAATGGAGTATGGTAGAAGCAGCAGAGGAATTTGCACTCAAATTCCAAAAGGGCCTCTGAATTCTCACCTTTGTGAAAGTATCAAACCAGCATACTCCCAGACTAGGGAGAAGGCAAGATCCTAGTCCTCTACCTGTATAGCATGAGAGCACCAGATGCTTCACTGCCACAGAAGCCTAAATGCTGCGCCTCATCCATCAGTCTGCTGCCCTCTAACAAGAGGGGTGGTGGTGGAAAAGTCAATCTATTGATTGACTTTAATAAAGTTTGAAAGCAAGATGTACTGACTAATTACCACAGTGCCACACTGCCAGCCATACACACTGAAAGGGACCACTGGGGATAGAGGGCCTGGATGATTATGAGGGGGATGAAGTAATAAGGTGTTATGCGAATCAAAGATGCGAATATATTAGAAATTAAGTTTTATTAGTCCCCTAGTGAATACAACAATGCATTTAATCTTCTTTTATTCTCAGTCTCAATAGCAGCCTCTAAGTATGAGCTAGTCTAATGATATGCAACGATTCCCCCCTTTAATCCGTTATCAGTTTGCCATTTCTCCGTTTCACAGAACGTGTCTTCATTCTGCTGTTAAGTGAATGGACCCAAGTTGTCAATACAGCATACAATAGACAAATCGAGCTACAACATCTTTTGGATCTCAAAAAAAAATAAATAATATTTTATCATGCTCCCAATTCAATTTCAGCAAAAACAGCTCCCAAAGCAGTGTCAGCATTTTTCGTCTGCAAGTGCACAACAAAGCCAGGAACTTGCTGGTCCCTTGGAAAGATGCGTTTGATTAAACACCTAGATCCCCAGCCGATTACCTGCCTGTCCAATCTGCATTAGTCTGCATCTGTTGATTGAATCAAGTTTTATTACTGTGGAGATTCACATAGTTGGATTAGATACCTCATATTTTAAGGGTCATCTGTAAATCTTGCTTGTTTACTATGCACTTTCACTCTTTTCCAAGCCATACCTTAACACCGGCCTTTTCCCAAAATGAAAACTCAAGCTCCTGAATGCTTTCTGTTGCCTGCTTTTGATTATAATACCCCAAATTTTCAGCTTCTTCAGCAGCAGCCTATGCAAAAATCTTCCAAAATATTTTTGACTAATAACTGATCAGATTTGCCTTTGGAGTAGTTTTTGATCAAGCAGATGAAAATTGATAAAAGCTCTTCTCCTTCATTGTGCTCCAGATGGACAATCAGGTTACAAGCCAGGTGGTGCTATTCTATTTTATATTACCAATTCAACAATATTTAACAAGTATAGTAAAGCACCAATTCTAACTCCCATAAACACCTTCTGAGCAAAAGCACACTATTTGGTGGTCCAAACCCCTTTTAATAGTAAAATGCTTTAAAAGTGAGACTCCAAATACTATTAAGCTACTTGGTTACTTAAAGTAGGGTTGCTGGTTTTGTCATTAAGCACAAACACTTGTTTAAAATAGGTATTTTTTATGCACAGTGGATGGATAGAGAAACACAGCCACACTGCCACTTAATTTCTCTACCCTGTGGGATTAGGAATATCTCCACCTTTGGAGATATCCACGCCTCAAGAGGAAAAGTCCCTTGCAATCTGATTCAGCTGACCTAGCTCTGAGCAGGAGGCAAGACTGGAGACTTTAAAGTGATCCCTCTGACCAACATGGTTCAGTGACTCTCACCTGGCATCAAACAGAAGGGCAGGAAGCAGAAAGCAAAGCCTCAGATAGGGCAGAGAAATACACTAGGATCAGGTGTCCTGATAAAGGAAACTGCTAAAAGAGCTTCCTCCTTCCTCCTCTTGTTCTGGTCCTTTCCCCCTTTTCTTTTTTTTGTTTTTTTTTTTTTTTTATTTATTTTTACACAGTTAGGTGTGTCAATGAACTAGAAAATATGATGGAATGATTGCTTTTGAAGGAGCATCTCTGTTCAGGTCATTTGGCATAAAAAAAGTCTAAGAGTATAGAAACAAGTATTTTTTTGTACTCAAAAGCAATTCGTAGGGGCAGCTCCACATTTTTACTTCACAGCTTGACTATCTCCAGTGATGGAGACTCCACAGCCTTGCTGGGGAACATGCTCCAGGGTTTGACAACCCTCAGAGGAAATAAACAGTATTTTCCTGTGTCTGGATAGAATTTAATGTGGTTTGTGTCCACTGCCCTCTTGCCCTGTCACTGGGTGCTACTGTGAAGAGCCTGGTGCTTTCTTTCATTCCCTCCTTTTGGGTGTTCATACCCATTGATAAGATGCCTCCTCTCCAAGCTCCCTCTGCACATCTACGGGGACAAAAGCTGTAAAATGAAGCTGCTGTACAAAGAGTCCTAGTAAACTGCATTTCTTTTCTGGTTTATAAGCAGTGCCATTATAAAACACTATGTAACACAGTCCATCTATTACACCTTGTGCAATTTTACCCACAGTGCCTCTTCCTCTGATTTTATTCTACCATGAATGGTGATCAATATAAGGGAATTTTCTCCTTCTTACCTGGCTGTGGTGGGTGAGGTGGTGGCATTTGGTGGTGCATCATAGGGTATGGTGGGGGCTGCTGATGAGGCAGTAAGCCTGGATGTGCTGGTGCCCCAAGGGGGTTCATCCCAGGCCCACTAGAGTGCTGGTGAGGCTGCTGTGGGTTTTGACTGTGCTGCTGCTCCATTTGCTGACGAGCCCTTAATTCAGCATATTTCAGCTGTTCCATGTGAAAATTCTGGCGTTCTGTTAGCAACTGTTGTCTCTGCTGCTCTAACTATATCAAAAAGAGGAGGAAAAAGGCAAAGCGAAGTTAGGAACTATACATTTAGACTATGTTGCTGCTAATCAAATACCGATCCTAGTGATACCCAACTGTCTGATTTGCAGCAAGTTTTAGTAAAGGGTCCAGGCCATTTTCCCAGCTGGAACAGGTGAACTCACCTTGCTTTGTCCTAAAGAATCTCTCAGTAATACAACACACTACTCAATGAGTACTGCGCAGAGCATTCAGCCTTAGAACAATTCTAGAAGAAATTAAATGTTTTTGTCTTCTGCACATGTTGGTATAAGGGGGCACAGGAAACTAAGGAGATTTTCCAGGGCAAGACCAAAGCAGAATATGTGTGCAAAAGCACAAGCTCAGTGGCTATAGGGAGGATCCTACTCCATGCCTTTACTTTAAATGTAGGACTTGGACATCGTGATAGCCAGGCAGCAAATATTTGCACTATTGTGTATTAAGTAAAAATGCTCATGTAATTTAGGCCAATTAACATAAACCAGGCTAATTTTATTATGAAGCCACGTAGAAAGTAAGCAAGCCCAAAATGAAAAGACAAAAAAAGCTACAGAAAATATGTCTTGCTATTGGGCATTTTTATGACTGGTCATTGTCCTGGTTGAGGAAATATGTGTCACTTATCTAAGAAATCATAACACATATCTAACATCTAGCACTCTTAAGCAACTGGACACGTGGATTTGCGTGACTGGTTTACAAATATTTAATGAGTGTTTTAAGGTATACTCTATAATTTATCTGAAAAGCAGGTTGCCAAGGAGACTTCCACCTAGTAGGAGTTCTCCAAAAATCCCAAAGCTCCACCAATACTTTGTGTTAGCAGTCTGACTGCTGACAAAGCACGGATGAAAACAGAATACTACAGAGCACACATTCACCAGGAGAACCAGATGGGGACAGAACCTAATGAATAATACATGGTCCTTGTTGGGGGCTGGTTTTCTGCGTGTGGGAACTACAATGTGATTATTCATGCTGCCGTGACTCTTTTTTTCTTGACCAATCTGATAGGTTAGAGGGAAGAACTTGATAAAACAAAGAGGCACGTACACCAATGGTGTAATCGTTCATGTGTGGAAACAGACTCTGTAGGTGGCAGGCAGTTCGGAGAAAAATTACTGCAAATGACCTGAAACAAAGGCTTAGGCAAGAAGTAGGGCTACACCATGCTTTTTATAGTCCTTTTGTATTCCTGCTTTGCTCTCTTCACGGTGCCCTATCCTGCTACAGTTGACGAAAAATCTTTACAAAGTATATCCAAACAGCAGCCAATGCCTGCAAATACACCCTGTACTTTGGAAAGCCATGGCGAAGTTCCCTTCCATACATTCCCTCTTCTCAGGATGAGAAAAGACAGCTGGACAGAGGAAAAAGACACAAGTTGTAACACTAGTTAAGACTTAAAACCGGTGCAGAGCCCCAGACACCTGGTTCTGTATTAGATTCTTGCATTTAATAAGGCTCTGGAGACACATCACTGTGGCCTTAAGGCAGCCAACAAGAAAACTGAAGAAGGCCTTTTGACAAGGGCAAGTAGGAATAGGACACAGTGAAATGACTTTAACCTGACAGAGGGGAAATCGAGATGAGATGTGAGGAAGAAGTTCTTCCCTGTGAGGGTAGTGAGGCCCTGGCACAGGTTGCCCAGAGAAGCTGTGGCTGCCCCATCCCTGGCAGTGTTCAAGGTCAGGTTGGATGGGGCTTGGAGCAACCTGGTCTAGTGGAAGGTGTCCCTGCCTGTGGCAGGGGGGTTGGAACCAGATGAGCTTTAAGGTCCCTTCCAACCCAAAGTATTCCATGATTCTATGATTTGCTTTAGTCATTTCAGAAGCAAGTTTACAGACACAACCTACAGTCGTATCCTCAGGTTAGCATTAAGACAACTGGTAGTAATCTGTGGTAGCAACACATTTTCTTGTGGGCTATGTATCAGTAATTTGCTCTGCTCTTCAACTCTCAAAACTCAAGTTATACCAGTAGCAATGTCAGGCAAGAGTGATGCTCCGCACCTTAATGGAGATCAGCATCTATCAGTTTGCCACACAATCGCCCTAAGTGACGTGATTCAGGAAATCAGTCAAAATTTTAGGTATGTAAGTCATGAATACTACACTCTTGAACATCCTTAAATTTGCAAGCACGTTTCTGCACTGTTGTGAAGTGATTTACAATTAGAAGGACTATTACAGGCATCTGATGCGTATTTATACAACAACTATTATTGTACCCCAATTTATTCTTCAGCAACTCCCCCCCCCCCCAAGCAGAAACAATAAAGCAAGCATTCACGTGCTATTATAAATTCTGGGTCAACAAGGATCTTACCAACAAGGTCCCTGGTTACACATAGAGTTTGCAGCACTTAAACACTGAAGTAAATGTGTTTTGTGTAAAGTCTAACACCCTCCAGTCTGCAGCAGAGTTCTTTCAACACAATCGCCTTACCTTTACTATGAACAAAAAAGCCAGTGCAGCAAAATATGGACATACACATAGTGTACAGTGGCACCAAGGATATTTTTTGCTTTAATTATTCCACTAAATATCCACAATGACAGGTGAAAGGACTAAATTTAACTACCCGAAAGGCAAAGGAAAAATTGGTATGCACAGTTTTTAAAAGGAAAATGTCATATCCCTCAAAATGGAAAAACCCCTCAACCTGTCACTAATAGAATGTATCCCCCAAAGAAAGAAATCCACAGAGAACCTTTTCAAAATAGTTAGGTCCATTTCTTGAGCTGCCAATCAGCGTCAGAGGCAAACACCACACTGACATGGGTTGAGGATGCTGAGCTATGTAGGAATTTTTGCTGACATTCTGCTACAACAAAAAAACAGTTTGTCAAACTCTATCAATGTGATTAAGGGGAAGTTCAGGTTGGACATTAGGAAAAAGTTCTTCACTGAGGGTGGTCAGTCACTGGACGAGGCTCCCCAGGCAAGTGGTTACAGTACCAAGCCTTTCAGAGGTCAAGGAGCATCTGGACAATGCTCTTAGTCATACAGTTTAGTTTTAGGCAGTCCTGTGAGGAGCAAGGAGGTGGGCTCGATGATGCTAGTGGCTCTTCAACCTCGAGACATTCTGTGATTCTATTAATAACCATGTGAGGATGTAAACTGCATTAAATTCACATGGTAGGGCAAATGGGGAAATCCCCAGAATTATGAGTCAGTACCTGTAACACATCTAGAGTAATTGCATATTGACAAAATGAAGAAGCTATACAACAGAAAAAAAAATCAAATAATGACCACTAGCTAATAAAAACTGAAGTTTTGAATCACCTTCACAGTAGCTGAAGAGAAACTGTTTCCTTGGAAGCCTGTCACATTATATACAAAAGAACACCTTGTAACCGATGTGCAGCCCAGGCACTGAAAGGCACAGCCATCATCCCTTACATGTTACACCCTGTTTTTAGGGATATGCAAGTCTCTAGCAAAGTGTCATTAATAGTGCTACAATATAAATACAGCCCGGCTTGGGATGCACCATATATACATGCTCTCAGTGTCACCACCTTCTTCAGCTGGCTAGACCTCAACCAAGACCTGCATCCTAGCTTACAGCCTCACTAGACTGAGGACAGAAACCAACTTTCTTCTTTAGCTTGCCCAGCTGCTCCTCCTCAGTTGCACTTTATCGTTACATTTACCAATTCAGTTTTCTTCCAGGGAGACCTTAGAACAGCTTCTAGAACCGTAAGTGTCTGACAAGAAAGCTGGAGAGGGGCTTTTGACAAGGGCAGGTAGAGGCAGGACAAGGAGGAATGGCTTTAAACTTGACAGAGGGGAGATTTAGATGAGATGTGAGGGAGAAGTTCTTCCCTGTGAGGGTGGTGAGTCCCTGGCACAGGTTGCCCAGAGAAGCTGTGGCTGCCCCATCCCTGGCAGTGTTCAAGCCCAGGATGGACGAGGCTTGAAGCAACCTGGTCTAGTGGAAGCTGTTGCTGCCCGTGGCAGAGGGTTGGAACTGGGGAAGCTTTAAGCTCCCTTCCAATCCAAACCACTCTATGGTATCATTCATGTGATAAGGCCTACATAAAGGCTCAGGATGAATTCCACGCTCATGCTTAGATGACAGGAGTAAAGATTATGAAGCAGATCTGGGATACCACCAGTTCCCTGCTTACGATAAAGAGAAGACATTGGATAAAGGAGAGCCTTCAAATGCTACTGTGTACTAATCATGAATTCTACCTGAAGGAGAAAGACCTGCATAAAGGGGAGGAACAGCTGAAGTGGCTAGTTTTCCTGCTGTTAGCATACATAAACCTTTGCAGTGACTGAATTATTCCAGAATCCCTACTTACCGCCTCCTTCTCTCTGTCCATAATAGTTTCCAACTCCTCAAAATGGCGAAGTTTTATCTCCAGCTTCTTCATCTGTGTTTCCACCAAAAGGGCGACCAGGGACTTGATCTTTCTTTCTTCCACTGCTGCTAGGTGCTGAGGATAAAACACAGGGTTTTGCTTTACACACGTTTACAAAATAAAGTGCTTTAAAGTGAACAACTCAGTCAACTATACCTACATTTAGCTTTAGCCATTCTTTTCCACTTCTGGACAGAAAACACGACATTAGATTATCAATCTTATGCTTGGAACCAGAAGCTCTTGGAAGATTGTTTAGCCTTTAATCAAATAAACAGATGTCAAGTTTTAATACGAGAGGTACTGTGGATGCTCAGTACTCGTGAGCAACCCAGCTTTGCCTTGAACACTTCTGAATGCAGTGCAACAGAGAGCAGTTTCAGTGGAAATGCAAATCAGGGAGTCATGGTCCGTTCTACTGAGTCAGGTGCAGGTCATCCAAAAAGCTTTCACCAAAACACACACAAAAGGCTTTTACCTGGAACAACCCACAGCAACAGTGAGATGACTTTGCATGCCTTTGCCATTCAAATATTCTTTTTGCTCAAGTAAATGAGAAGCTGTGTGTCTAGTTGAGCATATTCCCATTATATGCAGCACCACATCACTAAACCATAAGCTTTCTCAGCACAGCAGTTCCATCTTGGGTGAATAAGAGCTTGCAGAGAAATCTCTTAACAGATATTAGAAGGAACTGTTAAAAAAAATAAAATCTCCAGTTTCCTTTTATAACCAGGTTGCACAGTATTCGTATTGCAGAGGAAAGCTGAAGGCAAAGCTGTATTTAAACTGCAAAGGCAAACTGCAGAAAAAGGCAAAGAGATTTTTTACAAGGCTTTAGCTTTACCCCATTTACATATGTACACTTCTACATAAATGATACAGAATATATGGATGTGTGTATACATGTGATACATGAGACAGCCTACAAGTGTTTCACACTCTCCAAGCATGAAAGGCATGTTAAGGACACCTTCTTCTAGTTTTTGTTAGAAGCCTGCTGTTCAAAACCAAAATATGCTCAGCACACCCATTGTGCATATTGCTTGGGAGTTTCTGTATGAATAATCAAGGGATGTTTCCCAAACTCGGTGTCCAAGCAAAGCCTTCCTGACACATCCAAGGGGTGAGTGGGAAGGAGGGCTGGCTTTTGAGAAGGGGAAGGTGAGAGTTGAGGGATGGAAGGAAAAAAGAAAAAGTTGGATCTTACCCAGCTCAAGCTGCAAACAGCAACTTGTATCTGCAAGCTGTGCCCCAAGCTTTGGCTCAGAACTGGGAGAAAAACTGAGCTGGAGAATAGAGACATTCTAAAATTCCCTGGTATTCCTAATTATAAACAATTTCTTAAAAATGTATGATACTCTTTCCATCATTATGTTGTGTCATTTGACAGCATTCCATCATTCTGTGATTCACCCCTGGTAACCCACCAGCAATAATATAAGTCTTCAGTAGATCTAAATAACACACATTCGACATTCTAAGCTTGATTTTCCCATCAATTAATACCACTCAGTACATGAAACTCATTTGTAAAAAAAGTTGGACAGAAATATGTTTGTTGACACACACAACCTTCTGGAAGTCATTCTGCCTTGCTTGAGGCACACGATTTTAATAATGAAATCATATTAACATAAAATCAAGCAAGGCTTGTGATTAGGAAAGAGACAGGTCTCAAAATATACATTGGAAATCATCATTGACATTTTACCTCGAGAGACAAAGAGATTTGTCTCTTAGCCTGGCATTAACCAGTGCTTTCACATGGACAAAGAACAGAAATATTTTTGAGTCAGTCATGACAAGACTAAAGTAACAGTGATTTAAGTTGCCTGATAAACACATTGCTGCATCCACCTTAAGTCATAAACAAAAAGGCAGCTGGTATGTGACATTATCCTGGGAGACAGCAATTCTGAATGACCTGAGTATCACTGAGCCAGCCACTGGACCAGCCCCAGCTGAGGGTGGATACAGAATGACACTTTGGTTTAGGACAGGAGCCTAACCAGCACAGAAGCCCTAAACACAAGTGTAGCCATGAGTGGCTCTGTGCCTGGGTTTCTTCCTGTTGCCACAATACTGACTCCAGTTCCACTGCTCGGAAGTTGTATTTCTGGGTGAATGCTGACCAACTTGGGAGGAACTGCGCCAGGAAGCTGTGGCTGCCCCATCCCTTGCAGTGGAGCAACCTGGTCTACTGGAAGGTGTCTCCGCCTCTTGTCTCTGAAGGTGTCAGGGAAGTTGGAACTGGGTGAGCCTTAAGGTCCCTTACAACTGTTATATGACACGATTCTACAATGACTAGCTACTGACCAAGAACACACACATGACAGGCACTTCCACAGAACCTAGCCCATTCCCTGATCATCTTAAACCCAGCTTTTACTGTGAAATTAGCTAATCAAAGCAAGAGTATGAGCATGACAACTGGTATGGACAACTGTAAAATTGGACCACCTCTGGAAAACTGATAGCACCTGTCTAACTGGAATTCTCCACTGAATTCTCATCCACACGCAACAGTTTAGCTGCAACTGCAACAGGCAGAGAAAAAGACAATCACACTTTCTTCATTCCCTTTTCCTATGCTGTGAAAAGAGACTAGCTGCTTCACTGAGCTCTTGTTTTGTGAGGCCAAAAGGGGTAAGACTGTCTTTCACACACAAAATAGAAAAAACAAAGGTGGCAGATAACAAAAGACCTTCTAAATTAAGGCACATAATAGGAAAAAATAAGCCCTGTCATGCATACTTCCAAGCATGAGATGAAAAAAAGTCCTACAGTTTGTTTCTAGAGCAGCAGCAAGAAGGAACCAATTAAAGACAACTTGATTTGCCTATAAACAGAAGATAGGATGTAGCTGCTTGCAAAAACCACGATTTTAGCAAGAGTCCCTTTGATACCTTAATCTTACTTTTCTAAATCCCTACAACATGTGAAAAAAGTGATCAATAACCAAAGGCTTTTCAATTCAGCAGGCAAAGGAAGGTACTTTAGTGGTTGGTGGTTGAAATGAATCAGACTAGGAATAAAGCTTGACAGCAAAGTTTACCACCCATGGAAAAAGCTTGTGAACAATCGCAGGAGGTTCTGCATCACGGGTAGTTTTGACATGTGTCTTCTAGAAAAGATGCTTTCAATCACAGCTACCTCAAAACAGGAATTCAGGGAAGTCAGGAGGTCAGATGTTATGCAGGTCAAATATGACAGATCAAGAGCTCCAGAAGAAGCTCTACAGCTAATTCACAACTGGACAAAAGCTAACAGGAATCTGCAGTAGAGATGACATTTTCTATACGGTGCTACCTACACATAGAAAGGAAAAAATACCTTACAGTGGTTTAGGAGTCTGAGAAGAAAATGAGGAAAGGGGACTTTAATTCTAATATTGTTTGTACAGAAACCATAACCTGCAAAACTAAATTTAAAATTGTTCCTGTATTTTATAGGTAGTAGCAGAGTCTCACCCTTAAATCTCAAAGTCTCACTTCTCAAACAGCGCATCCCCCCTTTGGTGAAACCACTTATCCCAAAGGAAAAAACAACACTTTGAGTGTCTATCTTGAACCCCTGTTTCTCCTGAGAAGCCAGCTGAGATACTCCTCCAATGTAAAAACTGTAAGGAAAACGACTTTGTAACAGCTCTTCACATGACCAGGTCTGGAGTTTATGATGAAGAATCAAATTAATTTCTCAGACAAGATACAGCTCACTGAAAGCTTTAATACTGTCTTGGCTTTTAAGTGGAGAGATCCCTGTTGAATTTGAATGTTACTCTGAAGTGTGAACATCCTAATTACATCGTTTCCTATGACATAAAGCTAAAATTCTTCTAGAATATTACTGCCATAATGAAAAGCACTATTAGCCAAGTCACTTCTTTCTCTAGCACTTATTATCACAAAGGAAGGAAAGTAGATCGTCTTTATTTGGAGCAAGTAGCCTTCCATAAAACAGAGATTAAATCTCATGCCTCTTTATATACATATATAACCCTGCACATAACATGCAGGGTTTTTGTTTTCAACTTGGCTGAAAATACCTGTAAGAAATCTGAAGAGGGACTTTTGACAAAGGCAGGTAATGACAGGAGAAGAGGGAATGGCTTTAAAATGACAGAAGGCAGATTTAGATGGAATGCGAAGAAGAAGTTCTTCCCTGTGAGGGTGGTGAGGCCCTGGCACAGGTTGCCCAGAGAAGCTGTGGCTGCCCCATCCCTGGCAGTGCTCAAGGCCAGGCTGGACAGGGCTTTGAGCAACCTGGTCTGGTGGAAGGTGTCCCTGCCCGAGGCAGAGGTTTGGAAGTGGTTGAGCTTTAAGGTCCCTTCCAACCCAAACCAATCTGTGATTCTGTGATCCCAAGTCTGATGAACTGAAAGTACGTTACTCTTGGTAAGAGAGCTTGGTGCTAGGAGCACTGTAGGTTCAGACACCAACAGGTGAAGTGATGAAGCAAGGGAGCCAGTTCGGACTCCACACTCCACCAAAATAATGAGCCTGATGTTTACGTGCAAAGCGGGGTTCTACACAGCAAGGGTGCCTAGCTCTGATGTTACACAATGCTGAATTTATGCAACTTGTGATTTTAGAACCTGGCTCGTAAGGTAGTAACTAAAATTATTCTCAAATCTCATGATGACAACACCTATCATCACACTATCCTCAATACACGTCACCCAGCTGGGAAAGAAAACCCCAAACTAACGTTGTACGGGTCAAAGATCACAGTGGAAAAGTCAGTATGACACATGCAACACCTTGTTATGTCCACCATTATGTCCTGGAAATCCATTAGGAAATAACCACCATCAATGCTTTGCTTTTGTTACCTATAAAGTAGGTGCTATGGAACATGGCACTGAATTCAAGAGCAATTAAAAATCCCAAATTTCAACTTGAATTAAAAAAAAAAAAAGGAGAATGCAGATTTTGAAAAGGGTATTCAGAAAGAACATGAAAGACAACATGCAATTAGCAATAATAGGGTAAAGAAAAGCTATTAGATAGGGCACTGATTCAAACCACAGTTTATTACAACCCTACAGACAAACAAACAGAAGTTTAGTGACAGAAGGACGAGAACGTGCTTTTAACACAGAGCTCTTCTGAACAACAACAAAATCATTATGTTGTCTGTCAAAAAAAAATGCAGCAGTAGAATCAATCACATTGCTCTTGCAGACAAGGAATCCAAGCACAGAAGGTTTTTGTGAAGCCCACAGAGCAGCAGTGGCAGAGCAGGAAAAAGTGCAGGTTTTATCACCCAGGACTACACTCTCAGCATTACAGCCAGATCTATCAAACAGAGAAAAGTCTTTCCAAAAATGACAAATGTATCTTGGGGCTATTTCTTAGGTATGTTAACTGATTTCATGATCATAAAAGTAGCTGCCTGAATTAAACTGTACACTATTTTACTTTGGAGTTCAAGCAGAAGAAACTGAAGAAGTCACTTGTGCTCCTTCAAGGTATTAGAGGTTAGAATAAGAAATCACACAAATCTGGAACAAAGGACCATTTTAAGAAGAGTTCTAACGTGAAACTGGAAGCCAAGCCAATGGATATTTGTATAAAACAAACCTTTGCTTTGGTGGCAGCTGAGGCAAGGGCAGCAGCTGCAGCTGTAGCTACATTTCCTTCCGAGATTTCATGTTCCACTTTCTTCTTCCCAGCCTCGTTTTCTTTGTCTTTGCTTGCATCAACGTTCTCCTTGTTCTCTTCTGCCTCCTTCTCTTCTGAAAAAGATTTCCCAACAAGTCCCTTACGTGCATTCTCCCCTTGGTTAACAGTATCGCGTCCGGACAGAAACTGCACTACGTGCACTTTCATTAGTCAAATTAATTCATCCACACACTGTCACATTCCTACATTACAGTATTGCTACTCGCCCAAATGCTGACAGAGGAACAGCTCTAGTCTAAGAGGATCCAATCCATCAAATAGGAAAAAATTAAATACTTTTTATTTCCATTCTGTCAATTCATCTCTTGCCATCAGCTTACTCTCATCAGAACGTTTCAGCTGCGTTTCCAAATCAATTCCATACTCCATCAAATCCAAATGCTTCTTGTTCTACCTGGTGCTAAAATACTGAATGCAAGTTCCAGGAAAAAACAATATATTCATGAGGTAACAAAGGAAACATGTTAAAAATAAGTAAGAATCATCTCTTACGTAGAAAAAAACCCCAGTACTCAGCCTGTCAAAATAAAGGCTCTGCATTCCTTTACAGGAACACTGAGCTAACACATTAACTTCTAAGCACAAAAATGAGCAGTCCCATTTCTTTGCATCAAAAATGATCAAATGGTGTGCAGTAGTCAAAAGAAAGTAATTTATATGACCTACACTCTCTTTGCTACTGCAATTTCTTCACCCAGTCACTACACACAGTGGAAAAAAGCTCAGCTGAGGTCTGAAATGAGTTCAGGCAAGAATTTAGTGCCCGAGCTTAAGCAGTGAAATTAAACTAGAATATTTACTACTGAACTATGAAGCAGCCTGATGCGCAAGAGGAAATATTTCAGCCACAGTTGAGTTTATAGTCTATTCCAACTGCTTTAGAGGAAGGCCATTAAAGCTAACACAGCTTCAGGAACAGCTGGGAACCATTACCTGGCTTAGTGTCTGCAGTCACTTCACTATCTTGCTCTTTTTCTGTATTCCTCTCATTCTCTCCTTCTTGTACTTTATCACCTTCCTCAACTTCATTTTCTGCTTTGTTTTCAACCTAAACGGGATGAAAGATTGTTTGAAGAATGAGAGCTATAGAAGACATTCACTGTTAACTTTGTTTATAGCTTTCAAATTGATTTGTTATCGTAAAGGAAGAGATTCAATTTTAAAGGTTGTCTGCTACTTCAGTCCATTTTGACAATCCTAACTGAAATAGAAAAATGTAGCTGCTACACTGGACAAAGTCTATCAGGTTCAGTAACCTCAGCCAGCCTGGGCTCATCTGAAGGTACAAGAAATCCAGGTAAGAACACGTTATCCACACTGCTCCAAACTCTGCACTACTCACGGCCACAACAGCCTCCTATGGCAATAAATGCTGCAGCAAAATTACATGTCACAGGAAGGTGCTCCTGTCTAGGAATCAGTGGCAGCAAGCAAAGAGCAGCTTCATGCTTAATACTGCAAGCATCATTTTTCCCTTGGAAATACTTCAGACTGACTTGAACACTTCTCATTTAGCCTGCTCTACAGAATAATTAATCTTGTTAAGCTGTGACCAAGACTTCTATGCTTACATCTACCTAAGTGTACCTGGCTATTCACTGGAAAGGCAGAAAAAGAACTACCTGAAAACAGAATGAGAAATAACATCCAAACTACACTCAGCAGCCATTAGGCAACTTTTATCCCATCTGATGAAGCAGGTGACACAGAAGTATCACCTGCTGCTGCAGACTCAGTAAAAACTCACCACCCCTTACTTAGCAGGGTGATGTTCTAATTCCAGGGTATTAGCTTAACTCAAGGTCTGAAACAATCACAGCCAGCGCCATTATTGTACACTAGCTGAAAAGAGATACTGTGTCTGTAGACATGGGGTTATGAAAAAGCCCAAATAACTGCATTCTTGTAGGCATTACCAACAGCTTGAATGTAATTTCTAAATATCTGGGTTTTATGGGCAGGATGCATCATACCTAACAGCAAGAGTACACAATACACACATGTATAAAGAAGAGCTAGCCCAGACTTCTTGAACTGAGGAGTTTCACTGACCAGCTCAGCAACTGACACCTTTGTGAGACAGATCTCATCCTCCCACATCCACTAAGCTGCATGTGGTCACACAGACAGAGCAGATATGTAACTTGCACTGTCATGGGACAGGTGAGATGCAGCTGGGGCAATAGTTTCATTAAGTTTTTCCGTTCAGCTTTGTACACTATATTCAGAAATGGCTGCCAAATACTGCAAGTAACCCAAACTCACACATTTCCTGGAAAGCCCTGATCTTGCCAGAACTGAAAGCTGCATTCTTTGGGAATGCAATCTGTCACACAACAAATTTTCCTAGGGCAAAACTTTGAAGTGACACTTTACACCATTACAAATCACAGACCAGTGTCCTTCTGCAGCTTAAGTCTCCAATTCATTTGGTGTCACCCAGTTTTCATTTCCTCCTGATCCAACCTTTGCTCCTAAAGACTAGAAAACACCACACCAATATCTCACTGCCGTCTGCCCAGCAAAAGAAATGTCTCTGTATGGTTTGAAACTAAATGACTCCTAAGAAAATGAAGCACTATGGAGACAGAAAATTGTTCCCTGTGGACACATACACTGACCAGCACACTGCTGTCTGCCTTCCTTATCACACATTTCAGAAGGTAGTAATTCAGGTTTGTAAGTGTTCTAAGTAACTTTTCAGAACCCGTGTACTAAGCCAAGCTTACCTTCTCAGGCTGTTGCCCATCTGTCTCTGTTTCCATCTTTTCTTCTTCAGCTCCATCTGAGAAAACAAACAGTAAAGTATTTAGAATTGCCACAACATTCATTTATCATATTCAACATTTATCTCAGGGTTAACTATAATTTTGTGTTCTCTACTAACAGTAGTTTAAAGAAAGGCACAACACTACGCTCCTGGATGAGTAATAGCTTATTACACTGATTTTAGATTAAAAATCAAATTTACTTGAAAATTGAACTGTTATTTCTTTTCAGTCCAACAAGCAGGACAAAACATTAAATTATCTATGCCCTGCTGAAACCTCCAGTTTATCCATGTAGAGAGAAACAATCAAATATATAAATTTTAGCTACATAAAGGACAGTTCAGTGCACAGTTCTGCAGTATTCATATCACACAGCAATTTCCATTGGTAAGTCATAGTATTATAAAATGTTTTTCCCAATACAGCCAATTTGATTCTGTTGATGGTTGACAGTTATGTGATTAACCTCAATTACAGTGCTGTCAGACTTGTAATTCCTCCTTAGCACAAGATCCCCTGAGCTGCTTTTGATGAAAGGTCTATCTCCAAAGGCACTGTCATGCACTGGTCAACTGATGATTTAAATTCTATTTTGCAGGTGGTGCAAATATCATAATTCTCCAGTGCAGACTTCAAAATAATTATTTAAGACCAAAGTAACATTAAGCACTAGCAAATTTGTTAAAGCACCAACACGATTCTTAAAACACCAAAGATCTTGTTATTTCTGGCCCCAAACAAGAAAGCTGGAAAGGGGCTTTTTACAAGGGCCTGTAGGGATAGAACAAGAGAGAATGGCTTTAACCTGACAGAGGGGATATTTAGATGAGATCTGAGGAAGAAGTTCTTTCCCTGTGAGGGTGGCGAGGCCCTGGCACAGGTTGCCCAGAGAAGCTTTGGCTGCCCCATCCCTGGCAGTGTTCAAGGCCAGGTTGGATGGGGCTTGGAGCAACCTGGTCTAGTGGAAGGTGTCCCTGCCTGTGGCAGGGGGTTGGAACTGCAGGAGCTTTAAGGTCTCTTCTTGAACTCATTCTGTGTGTTCAAGGAAGGGAACCGTTATCCTCAGCACAGGTTTGAGGTGAAACCCTGCACAATGAAACCTTATTCCACACCCTTCCTACCTGCTGCTCTGCATAAACACGATGTTTATGCCCTGCATAAACCTGATGACCAGCTGGTTTGGAGTGCTGTGTGGCTCTTTTGCTGTTCCTCCAAACACATTTCTCCCCAAAGCTCCCTGAAATTGTATCCAAGCCCTCAGAAACACATGCAAAGCAAGTATTTGAGTCTGAACTGAACAATGAATCTTAAATCAAACAAACTGGCCCAGAAAGGTGTCACGCTATGGTAGATATTCTTGGACAGCGCTCTCAATCGGACCATGATTGTTCATTCCCTTGTTTCTTTCTCAGTGGTACTGATAATAACTGTGGGGTTTTACTGAATAATATACCTGTGAAATGATCAAAGTTAAACCCTAACACTTTCTTCACCCTTTCACTAGAAAAAGCTGTATTGCAGCTCCTCTAGAGCCCAACTGCAACTGCCTAGTTAGGTGCTAAACAAGATATGAATCACATCTGAGCACAAGAGGCAGTTGTTGGTTAGATATAAAGCAATAAAAGCACATAAATTACCAGCTGAAAGCTCTGAGCTTCCTCTGTATCCAAAAATACAGTCATCCAAACAAATGAGACACAGACTGAGGCTGAACAAACACCTCCTGACAATGTCATCACAGGATAGCCTGCTCCACTCCCAGCTTTTTTAAAAGGAAAAAAGAGCACTAAGCTGCACCTCCAGCGCTAATGCTGAAGAAGGCAATAGCATCGGTAAGCTCTTACTTCTCCCCAGTGGCTTCAGGTACTGCTGACAGACGTTGCAAGATGGGCAAGGCTTTCTGTAAATCACTGAATCCCAGGTTGGAAGAGACCTCAAGGATCATCTGGTCCAACCTTTCTAGGCAAAGCATGACCTAGGCTAGATGGCCCAGTACCCTGTCCAGCTTAATCTTAAATGTCCAACATTGGGGAATCCACCGTTCCCTTGGTGAGATTATTCTAATGGCTGATTGGATTGGGGTCTCTGTGCAGTAACCATTTCCTGGACTGCTCCAGGAGATGGAGCCTCTGCTTACGCCATCACCTGAATTTTCATAGGGATCACACAAGACAGCCTGCCAAGACTGGCTCTAAGCCAAGGCTCCCATACTGAAGCCATGAAGTACTTCCTCATGAAAAAAAAGAGAAACGTGCCAAGCACATGTTCAGGAGCAGACCTTTACTGAGAGCAGGGTCAGCCCACCTACATCACTGTAGCCCCCAGTTCCAAACTGGTCACCAAAAGCTTCCATCTAGACCAAAGCAGTCTTCGGGTTACTCCCCAGAGGTCAAAGCAGAAAAGTACAAGTCATTTGGGAAATAGTTATAAGAGGCTGCAAGTACATAACAAGAGCTGTTTGGATGCTTGGCAGGTCCTCTCACTGCCAGAGACGTGTGGGTCTGCATCGCCTCTTATGTTTTCATATTTAGAACCCGAACTGACTTTGCCAACACCCAAATCCTGACCTTGACCACAAGCACCTTTAGAGTGCCCTATGGCCAGGCATGAAAAAAACTTAGCTTCAATATACAATTATGGGCTTCCAGCTATTGCCCATGTTGCTAGTTCTTTTGCCTGACTAGACTGAGCTCTTCAAGCTTGTAGCCTCCTATTTACTGTCTGGCATTCAAATAGCTATTAAAGAGATACCTGGAGGATTCTGCCAAAACACAGTCAGGTGCTCTTGTGCTACAGACCGCTTTTTTGAGAAGCAGCTGACCAGCTACCATCCTATCTGACTTCAGCATCTACAACAGACGACCAGATAACACCTTAACCAGCATATAGGGCAGACCAAAATGAAGAAGGAAAAAGTAGTAAAATATTAATAATAAAAAAAAAAAAAGCCACTGGTACCATGTACTGGATGCGTGCACCTTCTAAGAGAAGTGAGTGTTTTAACAGCAGTTAGCATATTTTGGGGCTTAGGACACGTCTCGCTCTTAGGCCTTGGCTCGTGAAGTTATTCCTTTATAAAGCGTTCATTTAAAGTGTTCCTGCTAATGACAGCAGGCCTCTTGAGATAAGAGGGTAACAATAAGCATAGTGATGTAGAATACCATGAAGGTCACTGAACAACATACCACTGCTTCATGGTATTTTACATATGGATTGCCTAAAAGTCCAAGAAATCACAATTTATTTCAGCACCCAGCTGTTCTGCAAGGACAAACAAGAGGGAAGCATCAGCACAATCTTGTACTCCTCAACTAGGATCTCAGTTTCTGTTCTGCAAGAAAAGAAATTCTGGTACATTTTAATGTATGGGGGCATTAAAGAGGAGCTTATTTAGACCATGGTCTCCAGCACATGCTGCCATGCTCATATAAAACTGCTGGTGAAAAGCCCTCATCCACCTCTAAGCTTCTGAAGACGTTAGCTGGTGTTGGGTGCTCATTTCCAGTAATCCTAATTTTCCCACTTATCCCTATGTGCTACACTGAAGAAAAACAGGTGTAGAATGTGTTTTGCTTTAATATCAACAGTTCTGTAGAGAAGTTTTTACAGAAGCCCCTTCCATATATAAGAAAAACATACTAACATGCCTGACTGAAAGACAATGGTTTTCCTCTTGTCTTATTTGAAGATAATAAACTTACTTATCTGAAATATCTGCCACCATAATTCAATTTCTGGAGACTGGGGACATACCTCCTCAGAAGTTTTATCTCAGAGTTAGGATTTAGTGATCTAATAATGTCACAGGGAAAATCCAGATCAGATTTTGTCAGACAGCTATTTCAAGCCTAGAAACAGAGCTCCAAACTGAGCTTCAAAGGTCATCCTTCCTAGCAAAGAAAGGAGTTTCTTGCTAAAGGAGAGCATAAAGAAGTGGAGACAAAGTGCAGAACATTCCAAGTGTGCTTGAACTGGTAAAGTGGAAGATCATGAGCTCAACTATGAAAATAGTGCACAAAATACACAAATTTTCATTCTGATGTGGCTTAGCCCAAACACCAACAACTTCACGATTCCTAGTACTGGGATAACCGTGTAATTGAAAGAAAGAAGTCTGTAATTTTGTATAAACACCACAAAACTCAATGACAGGGAGAAGTGGAGTAACTCCAAGTTCTGCTTCATATAAAACTCCAAAACTCCAGTGCAACAGGCCAGAGAAACTCTAGTCTATGGACAATTTTAAGTCAAAACAGGTCGGTCTCTGTCTCTTAAAAAATAGTGACTTGATAATTTGTTGACTCTTCCAGAAGATGAGAACCTGGAGCTCAAGCTCTGCAGTCTAGAATCAGGCTGAGCAGAGATTCAAGTCTCAGCATCCCATATCAGCAGTGAGCACCTTGACCACCAGGCTACTACCTCATCCGCTGAAGGTTCCCAGTCCAAAGGAGCTCCCACAGAAACCTGCAGCTTCCCATTTATCCTCTGAGGGAGAGGAAAACAAATCCCTAGAAGGTTCTTGCCAGACAGTTCCACGATTTGCTCAGGAATGCAAAAATTCACAGGTGACAATACTCCTTGCTAGATTCTGAATCACACTGAGAAAGCTGTAAGTCACACCTACAAATGCCATACAACAAAGTCCTATAAGACACACACTTCTCTGTCCTACTCCGACACTCTGTTCTTGTGTCTTTCAGGTAAGACTGAACTGAACTCCCTTTCTATTCTAAGCTCATTTTCTAGTATGGTGGGTTTTGTTTTCCAATAACAACACATTTCAATGTGCCCCATCTTAAAGGTGAAGTTTTAAAGAAAAGCAGTGTCCAGCAACACTTGAGTTGCTGCCACAGTTGAAGACGTGAGTGCAGGATGGGTTTATGTAGGTTTACAATGCACTCACATCAAGCACTATCATAGATTCCAAGTGCTTGCTATTAATTCTCTGGAAGTACTGGGACAAGTTCTTTTTTTATTTCACAGATCATGGAATGGTTTGTGTTGGGATGGACAT